CTGCCCCTTGATGCCATCAAGCCCATTTTCCCCACAGCCAGGCCAGGGAATGAGTTTTGCCTTCAGAACACTTTTAGGCATTTCTGTAATTGTTAAATACCTGTGCCATTACATTAGCCATTTCAATATCAAAAGACCTGGAGTTGCTATAATAGCTCCAGGTGATTTTAAAATATTCTACTATTTAGAGAAAAGAAAAGAGTAAGACAGTATAAAGAACAGGGAGCTAGTGATTAAATCTGGAGGGCTTCAAACTCCTTCCCAGGAGGTACAGAACATATTTGCCTTCTCTCAAGCTCACATCTGTGTCAAAACTTTTCCCATCTCTGCTAGCTCAGGCTTGACCCTGAGCACAGGAACCAGTCCCTGTGGGGACACAGGAAATGCAGTGGGTTTTACTCTTTCTCTCTCTACTTGGAAACGGAATGTAAAACTGAAATTTTGATTTAAACTGAGTAGACTCTTTAATATTTAAAATGTCATCCAGGGGCAGGGAGAGACATGCAATAGACCTTGCTTAGAAGCAACAGTTGGGGGATATTAATCTCTCTCTATTGACTCCAGCCCATTCAGTGAACTAGTATTCATGGTAGATGGAAAAATCCTCTGGTTCCTCAAAATGTTTCCCTTTAGAAGTGCCCCTTTGAAATAAATATCGGATCCCAGGGCTCAGAGAAGCTTAGCAGGTGTCTAAGATATTCCTCCTCTGAGAGTGAAATGAAAGACTCTTATAGAGTCTGAAGAGAGATGTGGCTTGCTCAGTGGAGTTCTGGGAAACCCCAGAAAAGGCAGAATGAGAGGTATGTGTCAGTGTTGTTGACATTGTGAGAGTTCCTTCATGAAACCCATCTGAGCTCTTCAACTTCAACTACCTACACTCTTAGCCCCTCTAGCTGTACAAGGGACTGTGCTGATTTTTCAGGTGATATTACAGAGCTGTGTTTCCAAATGGGCACAATTTTGGCCTCTGCCCCTCGGAAGGACATTTGACAATGTTTGTAGACATTTTCGGTTGTCACAACTGGGGTTGTGGCAGCATCGGGTGAAGGGCAGTACTGGCTTCTAGTGAGTAGAGGCCAGAGAGGCAGCTAAATCCCACAGGGAAGTCCTTGACAACAAAGAATTTTCTGGTCCAGTGTGTCAGTAGTACTGAGGTTGCAAAGCTCTGCTATAAAACCCTGGGACTATCAGGGGTGCTGAGACCCCTCAGACCACTGTGGAAAAGCAAAGATGCCAACACTCCACCCAAGCAGAGTAACTTAGAATCTCCAGGTGTGAGTGCTGGGGATCCACATTTCCATGTTTCCAGGTGTTTTAGTGCACACCTCAGTTTGAGAATCTAAGCTCTAAGAGATAAATGTCACCTCTAATAGCAAGAGTGAGACCTCGTGGGGAAAGGCTAGGGGACACTCTCACAGAGCACAGGCTAAGATACAGCCACGAGGAGGAGAGCGGCAGTAACGATGGCAACCTGCCAGACACCACGCCCCGGCTCCATGCTCTACGTGCTGAGCCCATGACTTCATGTGACGGCTCCTGCCAGGCATGGCCACCCTATTACAAGAAGCCAACATAGACCCGGAGAAGCTGGGTCGCTCCCCTGGGAATATGGCAGGAGGCAGCGGCAGAGGCTGAGCTACACCCAGTTCTGTCGAAGTCACCGCCTTCTGCAGCTACTCCACGCTTCTGAAAACTGCTTTGGGAATTCAGAGGAGGCCCATGAGATGAGAAGAAAAAAGTTGTGCAGAGCTAAGCCAGGCCGCTCAGGGTCCTAAATGCCACCCCTCTCTCACTTCGAGGTCCTTGCTCAAGCTCGCAAACACTGAGGCTCACTCAGTGTAAGCTCCTTCTAGCTGAGCTGAACCATTTCACTTAGTTACCTTCCTCACGTGTTTTGTTTGTTTCAATTAAGGGACACACAAGGTGGTTTTTGTTTGTATTTTGGAAACCCAAACTCAAAATGACTGTGTTGATTACCTTCCAAAACATTTACTCTTTTCCCACAAACTATCTTAAAAACTATTTCTGCAGTGTATGAATATATAAAACGTGGTTTTTGTTGGGAGTGCTAACTTCCACATATGATTTGAAGTTGACGGTATTTAACCTACACTTAAATGATGAGCATAATGTAGAAACAAAGTGTGATTGAAGTCTGACATCTTACCAAGTTTTCTCTGCACTGAAATACATTTTCTCGAAGATGTTTAAAATTCATGTTTCAGCTGTTTTGTCGATAGGCAGTTTTCTCTAGAGTCCATCTCTGCTAAATCAGTCTTTTATTCTTTCTGCTCATCTTTAGGATGTAAATTAAGTCCTTACCTTAATGTTTATAATGTGGCACAATTTAAGAGTGACATCTTATAAATATCATTGTTATAAAGTGTTTACTTCATACAGCTTCTCTAAATTTCATTCATTCAACTAGGGCTGGGATTCAGGCCAGGTATGGGAGGTGCCTAGGGCACATTGTTTAAGGAGGCTTTCAATCTCAGGATTATGCAGATGTCGATGCTGTACTTGCCCAAACTGGAGAGTGAGTGCCTCCTTAAATATTGTACCCCAGGCATATACCTACCCCCACCCTAGTCCAGGTCCTGAATTCAACATATGTTACTTAACACCTATTATGGGTCACACAAGGGTAATGAATGAGACAGTCAAGGTCCCTTCCAGGAGATGACCTTCCTCAGGGTGGTTTTAACTTTGCTGAATTTGAATTACATTTTCCAGAAACTGCCAACTGGCTGACTCAAAGATCATTCTTATCTCCTTTCTCTGGTACATTCCTCTCAGTTTGGTGGCCATGTGAATGAGCTCTGGCCTAAGAAATTCATCTAGAAGTGCTGAGGACTCTGAGAGAGCTCTTCTATCTTTTGCCTCCTCCTGCCTTGAACAAGAATGCAATATCCTGAGCTATGGCAGCCTTTGTGCAATCATGAGGGAAGAGCTAAAGGAATCACAGATATACCAACCTAGAGGCTTGTATCGCTGAGCTGCTGAACCTATGTCAGCAACTGCCTGACTCCACCCTCCTGTCATGTGAGAAACATAAGCCCCTATCTATATCTACTTAATCCATGTTGGTCCAGTCCTCTGTTACTTACAGCCCAAAGTATTCCCAAATGATACAACTGACAAAAGTTTATCCCTGAAGTGTTTGGGTTGACCCTAGATACTGACCTTTACCTGGGCTAAGTAACAAGTAATCCAGTGTGAAGAGATTCAGCTCTCCCTGAGAGCTGGGAGGAGAAATAAAGTAACTCTATTATTACCTCCTCTTAGTAGAATTTTGTCACCATTTAGGATATGAAGGGTAATGAGCAAAACTGCATCATTTTGGCTATGAAGGAGAATGAGCAAAACTGCTTAGCATGATACTCAAGGACCCTTGTAATTTAATACAATGTGATACAAGCCCAGATTTAATAAAATACAGAGCACTGGGGTTACGGGGTCCTTTTCACAATGAGCATCCTCTGGAAACCTCTGGAGGCAGGAGCTGCCTTAATTGCACTCTCCTTGCTGTCTCCTTCTCCATTTCACTCTTCCCCTCTACTCTGCATTGAGTCTCCTGGGTTTTTACCAGGAAATTACTTGCAATCTATTCTGAGTCAGGCAGCCTGCCTGATGAAAGCTCTTAACAAAGTAGAGTAAGAAAAGATCTAAACAACACAAGGGCAAGCAAAGAATTGACTGGGTCTGTGTACCACACACACACACACACACACACACACAATTAAAACTTGTTTCAAACTCCCTGGTTTCAGTGACTATGCTCTTAGGACCAACCAGGTCACTTTCAAATATCCCACTTTTAAGGTGCCAAGAAATCGTGGCCTCTGATTTCAAACCTACTACGAGGACAAACCCCCAGCTGTGTGTCTTCAACCACTTTAGACGGGAACAAAGTCACAGCTCTGAGTACCATTTGCCCTTTTGCAACACTAGCTGCCAAAAGCACTTAGTAATTATTTCTAGTCACTTAAAATGCATCCTTTGAAATCATTCATCTATATAATGTTTATTTGATAGGCACTGGGAAATCTAGCAAATTATTTGTGCACTGTGTGCTCCTAACTGATATTTCCAGGAAACCAAGAAGTATTAATGAATAGAAATCCAACATCAGAGTGCCAGCATCGGTGTAGACTGGCATCATATAGGAATTGTGTCCAGCTACTCATCACTGCAACCAGCAATTGTCTCTGAAAATGATAGAGGTTTATCTCTTCTCATGTAAAAGAAGTCTGGAGGCAGTTCAGGTAATCATCAAGGTCCCAAGAAACTATTACCTTTCTATCTCACCATAGTTCTTAACCCTCCAAGTTGTCTAAACTTAAAAAATAACCACAGCAGCTCCAGCCATTAAATCTACACTCCAGGCAGCAGAAAAGAGAAAAAAGCAAAGATGAGAAGAATCCACTTCCCAGCTGAGTCATCCACTTTGAATGGTTTCCAGAAGATTCCACCTAACTCCTTCCACTTAAATCTCATTGGTCATTCCTGCAAAGGAGGCTAGTGCTTTGGTCTGAATGGTTATGTACTCACAGGATTCTAAGTGGAAATCCTAACTCCCAAAGATGGCATTAGGAGGTGGAGCACTTGGGAGGTGCTTGAATCAGGAGGTGGAGCCCTCACGAGTGGGACTGGGCCCTTACAAAAGAGGTTCCAGAGAGGTCCCTTGGCCTTTCCACCATGTGGGGACATTGCAGGAAGGTGCCCCCTCTACACCAGGAAGGCGGCTCTCACTGGACCATGCTGGTGCCTGGGTCTTGGACTTCCCCAGCCTCTGGAATTGTGAGGAATAAATTAACTTCTTTAGAAGCTACTCACTCTATGGTATTTTGCTATAGCAACCTGAGCAGACTAAGACAGCTGGGAAACCTAATTTTTGGCGGGGGGCTTTACCATCCCCCAGGTTGTTTATAAAGAAGAGGAAATTACTACTGAGTGGGCAAGTGGCAGTTTTGGCCACAGTTGGCAGAAGAAATAGAGACCTTTAAGAGAGTAAGAGTGCGAGCACATCCAGAGGAGCTTATTCCACAGCATTATCTGGAGCCTGCAGCTTTTGGAGACGCATGGAGTGGCCAGATCACCCTGCCGGAGCCTGGGGAAAGTCCTGGAGGCGAAAGGTTGTACATCAATGACTTCTCAGTTCTCAGTCTCTGTTCCTCCAATGCAAATAAAATCCACCTTTTCATGGGCCGTTACCACGGGCTGCCCATATTTACCAGAGTTTTGGCAAGCATAACCTAAAATGACCTAGACCTGGGACAGCAAACCACAGCCCATGGGCCAAATTTGCTACTCCACCTACTTTTGGAAATAAGTTTTTATTGGACACAGCCACACACGTTTGTGTATGTGTGCTCTGGCTGCTGTCACCCTGCAGCAGCGAAGTTGAATAGTTGCAACAGAGGCCTCCTGGCACACCAAGTCTGACATATGTATTAACTTATCCTATATAGAGCAGTTTGCTGCCCCCTGGGACCATACAAAAGATAATAGCAGCAACAGGAACATTTACTGAGCACTTAATTCTGGGTCAGGCTCCCTGCTAAAGGGTGGCCTGTGTTTTGCGAATTATTTAGTTTGTTTAGAACAGTAATATGTCTGGTATAAAGTTAAGTTTTGATAAAAACTCTTAGAGTCTACAAAGTGTTTTTATATACATTAGAAGGAGCCTGACTTTTCCCATTTTACAAAGACATTTAAAGGTTGTCCCAGAACTAAGTAGCAGAACCAAGATTCTGAGCAGGGTCTTCTGTGCCTGCACTTCCCACTGGTCCTTTGTAAATTGCCTACAACATTTCAGAAAACATTCATTTTTAAAACTAAGAAACCACTGTGGTCACCACAAATCATTTATATATAAAAACGGGGGCAAGTTTATTAACAATATAATGTTCCTCTTCCTGGTGCATTCCCCTTCCTTGCCAGGCAGTCTGGGGGTTTCACCCTCTTGTATCTATATCCCTTGGTTCTATCCATGGCTTTGCAAAGTGTTCTTCATTAGACTTTTCTCTGTTGCTACTTATGCATGTGCCATCCATTCTCTGGCAAGATGCTGACAAGTACAAGATTCTCTCTGGTACCTGCATTTGTGTAAGAAAGTGTCCTCCTGCAGCCTTCTCAGATGAAGGTACTTTTTAACACTAATTCTAAGTGCCGAGGAATCTCGCAGCCTCTGAAATGCATGCAGCCACTTCCACATCATGACCCATTTTCACATCCTTCTTTGGAACTCACTGCGGGATATCCCTGCTAAGTCCCTCTCCGGCTTGGTCATCTTCTAAGTCACTGAGACTCTGGGTCCTGCCTCAGAGACCTCCTCTGCATCCCAGGCACTGCCATCAACCTGGGCAACCTCAGAACTCACCTAGACAATCCATCCAATGTGCAGCCATGAGTTCCTGGAGCTCCTTGGTCTCTACCAGCTTCATCTGCTCACTCTTCTAGCATCCCTTTCCAAGGCCAACTCTTACATTTTGTCACCAGCCCAGGCCTGTCTCCTCTGAAAGCTCACAATTCAACATTCTCTTTCTCTCTACCTTCCAGTGTCTTTATTCCAATCACAGATGCTTATGACCTTATGAGACCACCAGTCCTCGCCCCTGCATTTTCACCAGTCATTACTTGTCTCATTCTCGTTGGGGATCCATTTCCTCCCCTTTCCATTCTAGACACCCCATTCTAGATCAGTACCTCCTTCTGACCACTGCTTACCAGCACCTTCTTTGTTAACGCCCACTTGTCAATCCCTGACCCTCTCTTACAAATGCTTAACTTGGCCCGATTTCTCCATGTACCCTTCCTTAAGGCAACTGGAACAAAGCCCACAGGCCAGATGCCACTGCACATTTATTCTTTAACCACAGCTGGGCCTTCAGAAATGGTCAACTATACTTTTATATGACATTGGTTAGATTCTCCTTCCAATCCTTTCAAAGCTTAATTCAAACCTTCACCACTCTCTTCCATGCTTTTCGGGAAAATCACAGTAAACATGGAGCCACAAGACAGAAACTCACTCATACCACCTTCCTCCAAGTCTATAAAGGTGTTTATCTCTGAGACCATCCTGACCTTGTCCTCCCTTCCCCAGAGGGAGTGCTGAATTGCCTCCCACCTAAGGGTGATGTCTCCACCTACAACAGAAAGCCCAAGCCCTCTTTGGCCCTCAGAAGCCAGGGAAGCCCTTTCACTCTGCTCTGCTGGCTCCTTTCCTTCCCTCATGAATCCACAGTGCTCCCTCAATCCTAGACTCCTTCCAGTGACCACTCTTCAAAGCCAGCACCTTGACAGTCTCGCTTCTAACCTTCTTGTGGCCCACACATGCTTCCATCCACTGCCCCCTGGTTTCTGCTCGGTCACTCCAGCAAACCTTCTCTTGCAAAGCCACTGCGGACCTGATAGCTGACTTGAGCAGTCCTTCTGAATCCCTACTTCACTTTGCCCAGCACTTGACTTTATTAATCATTCTACTTCACTGAAACGCTTTTCTCTCAATGTCTAGGAATCTCTCAATGTCTAGGAATCTAATTTCTCTGTCTCCCTCTGACCTGTGTTGTCTCTTCCTCATCTTCCACCTGCTTTTGTTACTGCTACTGTTTTCCACGCTTAAGTTATGTATCTGCTTCTGACTCATACCATCCCATAGCATATTGGCCAAATCCCCTGACACAATGAAGGTTCCCAAATCCTTACTCCAAGCACTCTCCTGAGCCTCAGAGTAAAATTTCAAATTTCCCACAAAATGTGTTTACTTCCATGACTTATACACACTTCAAGTTTAATGTTTCAGAACCAAATGCATTACCTTTTCTTCCCTATTCCTTACCTTAGGAAATGGTGGCACCATTTTCCTAGGTTGTTAAGTGAACTTTATCAAAGACTCCCTCTCACTTTCTACATCAGATCAGAAGCCAGTCCTGTAGAACTTCACCATCTTGACACCCCTGGCATCTCTGTTCCTTCCCTCACCTCCATTGCCATGGATGCCAGTGAAGTCCAGGGCAGATCCTCTCCCATGTCCACTACTGCAGTTGCCTCTCAGCTGGTTCCCTGCCGCTAGCCCTGCCCCTTCCAATCAACCTTCACATGTCTGTCAGAGCAATCCTTATAAACTGTAAATCTGAACTTCACACTCTAGCCTGAAGCCCTTTGGCATCTCCCTACTGTGTGCAGGTAAAGAGCAACATCCTAGCATTTGATGTGTACATTGGCCCATCTCTCCTGCCTTCTTTCTAGTACTTCTCTAGCCTTTGAACCCGTCCTGCATCCACATGCACTCACATTCCCCCCCCACACCACAGTGTTCTATCTCTCTTGCCTTGGTCTATGCAGTCCCTTTTTCAGGAACGCGGCCTCACAAATTGGCCTAGAGAAGTCCTACTCTCCCTCAGCTCACATAACCCCTCTCGCCAGAGTGGAGCGGCTTGCATCTTCCCTTGTCCAATCTGTGCAAAGCCCAAATCATGTCCACACTGAACTGTGCGCTAAACCTTTGCTTTCAGAAATGCCTGCCCTACTAGACTGCAAGGTCCCTAAGGTCATGGGCTGGCTCCTTTGTGTCTCCTGTCATCATGTGATCAGCACTCAGAATGATGCTGCTAAATGGCTATAGGACTTGATCACTGCAACTGTTACTAGATAATCATTATTTGAATATAAATACAAGTGAATGTCCACAATTAAAATCTCAATATTTAAAATACACAATTACAAAATAAAGAGATGTCTATAGTTGTAAGATTTTGAGGAAAAAAATAAGAGCCCTAAAGACAAGGTAGAATTTCATCTACTTAGTACAGTTTAACTATATCCCAGGCTGAAGGCAAAGCAGGTAGACAACTGAAAAAAAGGCATTGCCTTTACTAAGGTTCTTCTCAACTTCATGATCTAACAAATCAACTCTGATATAATGTTTAGTAAATTGTGTCAGTCAAACAAAATAAGAATTCTGTTTCTTATCTGATTCTAAGTGGTCAGTTCAGCTAGTATGGCAGAAATAGCACAACTTTGAATGTCAGACAAACCATGGTCTGAATCAAAGCTCAAACTTTTAATTGCTTTGTGACTTGAAGATATTTAACCTTCTTGAAGCTCAATTTTATCAACCATCATACAGGCGAGTTAACAGCAGTTCACCCAAACACTTCACACGTCTGTATCCAGTACATAGTGACTACTCAGTGATGTTTCTTTCTGTCCCCTTTTTGGAATGAAGTTTATTTTTGTGCATTTTATCTAAGCACCTCATTGCAAAGATGACAGAAGCCTCTCCAGAACCAAGCAACTTCCTCCCTCGACTGACAGCCTGGAACTCTCATCAAATTTTAGGTTTTCTTTCTAGAAAGTAAAATCTTCTGTATTTTCTTTTATTTAGCAAAAACCAAACGAAAGCGATCAAATCAACATAATAGACAAAAAATTGATTTACCTTAAACGCTAACCTGCTGCCACCAGTTGCTTGGAACTGAAACTATGGACGCTTCCTCCCGGCTCTGGGCGGACCCACCCCCTCCCTTCCCCCTTTGCCTCCTCCCTCTTACCTTTCCTCCTCAGCCCTCCTGGCCCAACCTCTTCGTGCCAATTGGATGGCTTGAAATCACTGGGGCAGACTCACAGCCTGATTAGCGTAGGTCACTGTCAATCGCTATCCTGGCCCTGCCTCTTCTCAAGTTTACAGTTCGGTTGCCTAGGAACTGTAAACCCAGCGAGCGTGACAGCCCCAGTTTGTCCCTGGAGAGGAGCCAGCAGGAAGTAGCTGGCAATCCTTTGGTTTCCACAGGCCTTCAAACCTTGCCTCAATTGTTTTATAAGATAATGTTCTGCAAATTGTCTTACTTCTTTAAACAACCCTTTCCTGCCTTTCTGTTGTCTCTCCAGATGGCTTACGGCTAGGGGGTCTTACTATCAGGTGAAACTTAAAGCCACAATACAAGGAGAGCATGCAAGTGTAATCACAGGTGATGGGGAGCCCTCCCTCCTGCACACCCGCCCACTGGCAGAACACCACTACTTGCTGTTTCCATCCCTGGGGTCTTCTTTTCTCTTCTTTCCACTTCTCTTCTCAATAATTTGCCAGATAAGAAGTCCCGTTTAGGGAAAAAAGCCTAACTCATGCTCTCTTTCAGTTTCTCCAATGACATCCACCCTACCCTCCTCATTTTCAAAGAACGGAGGGCAATAATTATGAAGACCTGAGTCCTACTTCCCATTCTGCGTCATGTATTGCGTGTATTCTCAGACAAGGGTGGTCATTGATTCATACAGTCTCTACAGTGGGCGTTATATCTGTCTGGCCAACTTCTCAGACTTGCCCTGGGGGAAAAATATTCTCTGTGGGTTTTAATGAAGACTTGTCTAGGTTTGAGGGGCTTTCCAGTAGGATATGATTTGAGGGGCAAGAAAAGGCCACTTGCTCAGAATATGTCCTTTATCTCTCTTCTGGGGTTAACGGCTGTTTCCAGAAGGTCCCGGCCTATGCTGCATGACACCTAC